CCTCTCTCTCTGTCTCCCTCTGTCTCTCTCTTACTCATCTTCCTGTCTCTTGATTACCTCCTCTCTTTCTTTCCCCCACCCCTCATGGTCTGCTTCACTCTGCTGGCCACGTTTAGCCTACTAGTTTCTCTCCCTACTCTCTCCTCCTCCCAATGCCTCTGGCTATTTTCCTCCTCATATCTACAATTAAAACCTTCCCCTCAGCCACAACTCAGAGTAGCCATGTCCTCAACTTTATCCATCTGGTGCCTGAATGAGATGAAGGGAGGACAACTCCTAGGTATAGCTGAGAAGAAGGTTTTACTGTAGATACGAGGGCAAGCACAGCCAGAGGCATCTGGAAGAGTCCAGACTGAGCATGGCCAGCAGAATACATGGGGCCATGAGAGGAGAGAGAAAGGAAGATCGAGAGACAAAAGAGACGAGAAGGAGACAAAAGAAGACCAAGAAGGCAAAAAGAACTAAGACAGCACATAGCCAAAATGATGAGATATACAGGAAAGGGAAGCTAGGGAAGAGAGGCAGAGCTTGGGGGCTGGAGACATTTAGAGTAGGGGTGGGAGTGAGAAGTTCTGAGAGGAGCCTGTCTCTGTAACAGGTACTTTTGAGGCTGAGAGAGACTGGTGACCAGAGTCTGCTTTGATATATTAATAGGTAACTCCAGTTTCTTTGAGACCTAACAGTGTAGAAACCCTCGGTTTATACATCTGGTGCTGGATCTTATATACTCCCCTGCCTGGGGAATGGTGTCATTCACAGCGTGCTGATCTTTCTACTTCAATTAGGATTATCAAGATAATCCCCTGTAGACATGCCCTCAGAACAACTTAATCTGTACCTCCTGATCAGGCGATTCTACACTATAGAAAGTTGATTATCCATCTTGAAAGGTCATCACCATTGAGGTAACTATCACCATCACCATGACAGCAATCATGACTACCACGGTCACCACTGTCATCACCCTCACCACCATCACCGTCACCACCATCATTATTACTATTAGTCACCACCATCACTGTCACTTGCTCTTGGCCACATGGTGCACACTTCCCATGTTCGTGTGCTTACTTCCCAGATAAGGAAGTTGAGGTTGAGAAGGAAAAACAGAACCAGTCATTGTTACAATAGTTAATAACAGTGTGTTATGGGGAGGCCAAGAATGAGATGCTTCCCCAACTGCTGAGGTGGGTCATGTACTAAACAGCCTCAAGTCCCACAAGAGTACATGTGTCACCAGAAAACGTAAAAGGGTAGAGTCATATCCAGGCAGAAAAGAAAGGCTGTGAGGGAGGAAGATCTGTAAGTCTGGAGGAATGCTCACCAGATCCAGAACTAACCACCTTGATTTTGGATTTCTGGTCTCCAGAACTCATTTCTGTCCTGTAATCTTGCTGCTGATGGTATTTTGCTAAGGTTACCCCCAGCAAGGGAACGTAAGGATCTAACTATAATCCCACCGTAAGATGAGAAGCTGAGCTACAAGATCATGATGCTGAAAGTCACACTACAGCCTAGTGACAGAGGTGCAGGGAAGACCTGGGCATCCAGCTACACAGTCAACTGGCTGGTAGACAAAGATACTGTGCAAATATTTATTTCCAGCCTCTGATTCCATCCACTTTATGAGAGGGCAATACACCATCGATCCACCATTGTCAAACAGCCACGCCACTTGCCTTGGAAATGATGCGTGCCATCTCTGGCAGGAGGTACAAATGTATGGTCCTTTCAGGTATCATAAAAGCTTGTCATGTCCCAGTTAGTGACTGGCTTCAGCCTGATCAAGGCTGAGAAAACTCCCAGAGCAGCACTGAGTCACAGCCCCAGATAGCGTTCACTTGTCACATGAGCAAAATCCTTTCCTAGAGTTAAGCATTAGGTATTGTTTGTATGCAGCAAAGCTGGAAGACCCAGAGCACTAGCTACTTCCTACCACCAAGCATTTGATTTTGTAAAAATCTACCCACTGCCACGCTTAAAACCTCAGCCTGTCATAAATAAAGTCACTTTACTTCTCTGATCCCCTGTCCTCACCTGCAGAAGAAGGGTGGTGTTAGTAATTACTCCAAGATCACAGAAGAGAGATGACACAAAATTACCCTTCAGAACTTTATTAGGGGAGCCTTTTAACCATGGGCAGCCATGGTGGGGCCTTGAAGTAGGAGAGAAAGAAAGAACAGCCATATATAACATGATGGGGGGTACTGAATGAAATAGCCTTGAATTCCTGAGAATGAGATCGGGTTTATACTCTTAAATGAAGAGAGCTGCCCCGGGATGTGGCCTGATTCTAGGAGAGAGAGGGAGAGGGATAGTGGAGGGTCTATGTTCTAATGCAAGGTGAATTTGTGTTCTAAGGCAATTACTAGA